TGAAAGCTCCTTTCTTATAGCTCATTCACTTAGTTTGTCTCCAAATTAGTTTGCATATAAAAGCCACCCGATCATCCATCAGCAGACAAAAAGCAGAGAAAATATTTTTTATCGTTTAAAAAAAAGCACAAAAAAAGGGTTGAACAATGTGACCAGAATTCGGGAGCGGACAAAGGAGCTGCTCGTCTCCGGCAAGTTTGAGGTCTTCACTCAGTGAGGTCGAGAGCCGTTACCTTTTATATAGTGTTACAGTCAGATAATGTCACTTCAACAAAGTGACAGTGTGGGCCCAGCAACCGTCACTACATAAAACATGAGGCTACAAATCAGCAACAAAGCACCACAGTTTCTTTCACAAATAAGCTCGCCTCAAAAAAATGTTTTTTTTTTATTTCGGTTGTCCGGAGCACATTGCGATACTTTTTCAGTGATGCTCACTTCACAGTCTGAGGAGATGGGGTCGGCCATTTAAGACTGAGATGAGGAGAATTTTGTTTTTACCCAGAGAGTAGGGAGCCTGCGGAATTCTCTGCCACAGAAAGCGATTAAGGCCAAAAGATTGGATGTTTTCAAAAAGGAATTACATTTAGTTCTTGGGGCTAAAGGGATCAAAGGGTATGGGGGGAAAGGGGGAACAGGGACTTGAGTTGGGTGATTCACCATGATCATATTGAATGGCAGAACAGGCTCAAAGGACTGAATAGTCTACTGCTGTTCCTATTTTCTAAGTTTTTATGTTTATTGAGGCAGCATCACTAACACAGAAGATATTAGATCTGAGGAATCCTGGAGTTCTGAGGAAGGGTTGACCTGAAACATTAACTCTGATTTCTCTCTACTGATCCTGCTAGACCTGCTGAGCTTTTCCAGCAATATCTGTGTTTTTGGGGGTATTTTAGAAAGTTATTAGAGCTTATGGTTTTATGGGATCTTGCTGTGCAGAATTCAGCTGCCATTCAAGCTGTCACTGTGTAAACTCCACACCGACAGTCACCTGAGGGTGGAATCGAACCCAGGTCCCTGACGCTGTGAGGCACAAGTGCTGCCCACTGGGCCAGGATGGCAGATTTCCTTACCTGAAGGACAGTCATGAACTAAACATGAAATGAAATTGGATAGACCATCTGGCATTGACCTTAGCATTGGAATCAACAATGACAAACTCTGCCCTGTTGACCCTGTACAATTCTCCTTACTGATATAACACTACAACAAGCCCAGGGTGGAAATGCTGGTATTGGAGTAGGTTGGTTTATTGAAATGCCAAGAAACTGGAAGGTCAGGGTCATTTTTACAGACAGAGTGGAAGTGTTCATCCAATCTGCATTTGGTCTTTCCAATGTCAAGGAGACCACATTGTGAGCAGTGAATGTAGTGAACTAGATTGAAAGAGGTACAAGTAAAAGGTCGCTTCACTTAGAAGCTGGACTGTTGGACAGTGTGGAGGGGAGAGGTGAAAGGGTAAGAGTCACACCTTCTGCAATTGCATGGGAAAGGGTGTCAAGGGTGGAGTGCAGTAGTACTAAGAGTGATGGAGGAGTGGACCTGGGTGTCACAGAGGGAATGGTCCCAACGGAATGCTGACAGTGGAGGGGAGGGGAAGATATGTTTGGTGGCAGCATTGTCCTGAAGGTGGTAAATGATAGAAAATGATCCATTGAATGTGGAGGCTGATGGTGGCAGAAAGGGAGGACTGGGGGATGATCATTGATCTGTGAGGGAGTGAAAAGGCTGAGGGCAGAAGTGCAGGATATGGGTCAGGCATGACAGAAGTCTCTGTCAACCTTAATGTTTGGGAGGGGCAGTGGGGAAGCCCCTCTCAGTTGAGGACACAGAAGGGCAAGTTGAGGTAACCTGTTCGCAGGTGTATTAACTTGACAGATGTGACTGAGGCAGTGAAACTGGGAGAATGGAATGGAGTCCTTACGGGAAGCAGGGTGTGAGGATGTATAGTCCAGGTAGCTGTGGGAGTCAGTGGATTTGTAATGGATATCAGTGTCCAGCTTAACCTTGCAAATAGAAACAGTGAAGTCAAGGAAGCGAAGAGTCAGAGTGAAGGTGAGAGAATGATGGAAATTGGAAGCAAACTTGATTGATATTATCAGTTCTAGATGAGAGCAGGAAAGAGCACTAATGAAATCATCAATGTGTCTGCAGTTGTATAGGGTACTGGTGAAGCCATACCTGGAGTGCCGTGTACAGTTTTGGTCTCCTTACTTGAGAAAGGATGTACTGGCACTGGAGGGGGTGCAGAGAAGGTTCACTTGGTTGATTCTGGAATTGAGGGGGTTTGCTTTTATGGAGACGCTGAGTTGACAGGGATTATATTCACTGGAATTTAGAAGAATGAGGGGGGGATCTTAGAAACGTATAAAATTACGAAGGGAATAGATAAGGTGGAAGCAGGGAAGTTGTTTTCAACCTGGGTGGGTGAAACCAGAACTAGGACTGAGTTGAGAAACTTCTTCACCCAAAGGGAACTCCTGGCCCAGTGAACCAGATGAGGCTACCTCATTGAATGTTTTTAAGACAAATAGATTATTGAACTGTAAAGGAATTAAGGGTTATGGCGAGTGAATGGGTAAGTGGATCTGAGTCCACCAAAAAATCAGACATGATCTTATTGAATGGCGTAGCAGGCTCGATGGGCCAGTTGGCCCACTCCTGCTCCTATTTCTTATGTTCTTATACATCAGAGAAAGAGTGTTCTTCTTGTCCTGACACAACCTGTCCATCTTCTCTCCCACCTATCTGCCCCTCCCACCTCATTGACCAATCCCCACCACTCCCTACCTGCACTCACCTATCACCATCCCACCTACATTCCCCAGCCCCACCCCTCCTCTCTATTTATTTCCCAGCTCTCTTCCCCCTCCCCTATTTCTGAAGAAGGGTGCCAACCCAAAACATCACCTTTTCTGCTCCTCTGATGCTGCCTGGCCTGCTGTGTTCCTCCAGCTCCACTCTGTGTTATCTCTGACTCCAGCATCTGCAGTTCTTACTATATCTAAGAGTGTGGGTGTGACTTGAGTAAGGTTGGAACAAGGAATGTTCCACATACCCCACAAAGATACATGTATAACTGAGGCCCATAACTTGGAGAAAGTGAAAGGAGTTGAAGGAGGAGGTGTTCAGGGTGAGAACGAGCTCAGCTGGATGGAGGAAGGTGGTGCTGGATTGGGATGGTTCAGGCTTTTCTTCCAGGAAGAAGCAGAGAGCCCTGACAGCATCCTGACATAGAACCACATCAAACGTCAGGAAGAATCATGAATGTAAACAGGACGAGATGGAACAAGGGGTGAAAATATACAGTCAAGGTAAGAAGTATAATGTCCAGTAGGACAAGAACAGGCCGAAACAATGGGTCTGCCAGCTCAGACCTGTTTGTGAATTTTGAGAGGCTGTGTGGGGTTGGGGGAACTATGAGGTGAGAAGTTATGAGGGAGGACCCCAGAGAAGGTGAGGTCAGTAACAGTCCTGGAACTGACAGCCTGATGTACAGGGCTGGGTGGATGGTCCAGGGGCAGAAAGGAGGAAGTGACTGAGAGTTGGCACTCAGCCACTTCCTGGTAGAGGTTGAAACACCAAATAAACACAGCGCCACTCTTGCCTCACCAACAACACTCAAGAAACTTGACCCCATCCAGGACAAAGCAGCCTGCTTGATTGGCACCATGTCCACAAACATCCACTTCCTCCACCACAGACGCTCAGTAGCCCAAAATCCTGGAATTCCCTCCCTTAAGTACATTCTGTGCAACCTGAAGAATACAGAGGTTTAATAAAACAGCTCATCACCCCCTTCTCAAGGGCAATTAAGGATGAACAATGAGTGATTAGCCATCCAATAACATCCACACCCCAAGAACAAATAATCTTAACTGTTAGTGGGGCTGTACAATCCCCTTCATTCCTGGGATATGGGCGTTGCTGGCTAGGTCTCATGTATTGTCTGTATCTAGTTGCCCTTGAGAAGGTTGGGGGGATGGGGGGATTGAGATGCCTTCTGGAACTGCTGAAGTCTGTTGGTATAGGTACCTCAAAAACGTAGTTCAGGATCTGGTGACAGTGAAAGGACTGTCCCACAGGGAGCATGTCATTCCAAAATCACAATGACTCCCAACTCAATGTTCCCCAAATCCTAATCCTGGTGAGAGGAGAAGGTTTTAAAAGGGGCCTGTGGGGCAACTTTTTTATATTTCGGGTGGTTCCTGTGTGGAATGAATTGCCACAGGAAATGGTAGATGCAGGTACAATAACAACATTTAAAAGATGTTTGAGCAGGTTCATGTACAGGAGAGGTTTAGAGGGATATGGGCCAAATGCAGGCAAATGAAGAAGGGTCCCGACCTGAAATGTCAGCTTTCCTGTTCCTCTGATGCTGCATGGCCGGCTGTGTTCCTCCACCTCCACACTGTGTTGCCTCTGACTCCAGCATCTGCAGTTCTTGCTATCTGCAGGCAAATGGAACTAGTTTAGTTTGGGAAACTTGGTCGGCATGGATGAATTGGAGTCTGTTTCTGTGCTGTATAACGCAATATGACTTTTCTTAGACTCCCTTCTCTCTCTCACACACACACACACACATCCCCACCGATACAATGTAAACTCTTCCCATCACCAAGTATACCGTGAACTGTGTACACTGCCTGAGAAAGTGTTACTGTGATTGTATCTTTGATTTAAAATGTTTGAACGGTGGATGGAAGCTGAACAGCAGGGCTGGGGGCAATTGGGGGTGAGAGGTCTGGATCTGGGAGGGTGGGGAAGAGAAGGATTTTTTTCTGCAGGGCGGTCACATTGAGCAGCATCGCAGTTGCGGAGCGGGTTGTTGAGAGGAAAGGACAGGAGTTGATTTACTGTAACACTGCTGACTCTTATTTCCTCCTGGGTGTTACTGTGTACAGACAGAGAGGGGACACACAGTGGCCTGAGGGTGGAGAGATTAGCACCAGGCAGGTCGGGGGTGGGGGGTGCAGTTTGTGTACAATCCCCTGGTGCCCCCTTTACTTTACTGTGTGCCTGTCCTCCTCTTGCTTTGGGCTGGGCCTTTGCCGATTGAGGAAAATGGTTCGCATTCTCGCTAACGGAGAGATCGTGCAGAATGATGATCCCCGCGTTCGCACAGCGCCGCAGAGACGGGAGGATCTGAACAGACCCCGGCAGGTAGGGGTCATCCCCACCCCACTCCCCCCCGACACACTAACTCCACACCCCCCCGCCCACACACAAACCACACATTAACACCTCCATACAAACCCCACCCTACCCCCCACACACTAACCCTACACACACACCCACCCACACCCCACACACTGACCCCACACACCCTCCACACACTAACCCCACACCCACACTCCCACTCCCCCTCCCACACACAACCCACACATTAACACCTCCATACAAACCCC